CTGGTTCTAGCTGGGAAACTGAAAAGGAAAGGGATACTAGTTCAATCTGTTCAAGAGTACAATGAGAATCTTAAGAACCAGATAATTAGGGCAGAATCTCACCTGTACCCACCCAATGGGAGGCAAGTCTGCTCTCTAAGACAAGATTCTGAATCCCGAGTCCCAGACTTTGTTGTCTGATAAATATAACACAATACAAGCAAGTTTCACAAGTAAAATATCAGATACCTATCCAGGATTTTTTTTAGGACTGTTTCCAAATCTTTAGCGACATGAAGAATCTTTAACCTGCATCACAAGATCAAAGTCGGCCACATCTACAGTGGATGATTTCTTTCTCTTTTCATTTCTCAAAGCAATCTGCTCCATATAACAAGAAGAAGATACGTTCATGAAAATGTTTGTGGGACACTTCCATTTCAAAATATGTCACTCTTCTTCACACGGACAAAATATAATGACAAGTATCTTCGATACCCTCACCCTCCAATTTTTCATCTATTGAGTACTTTGAAGATAGTAAGGTCTATTGTATGTTGACATATGAAACACCTTTAGAAAACAACATTGGGGAAATTTAGGACGGCAAAAGTTCTAGAAGAAGTTAGTAAGCATCCAATAGAAGGCACTCGTAAGTCGTAATTAGTAATTATAGTAACTAAGATGTTATGGACAAACTAAATGTGGAGAAGAGATTACAAACATAAAAGACATAACAAACCTCTTGCAAGGCCAATGTGCTACTGTTTGAAAGCAAAAATACAGGAAAATTGTAAGCCTTCCACATCAATCCAGATCCCTGCAAGTTGAGGATGACAACATTTACTTTATCTTACAGGTCCCCATAATGCAAAGTTGAATAAAAGGACGAGTCGTGTACAGGCAGTTGCAAAAAACATGTATTTATTTATTTTAATGAAGTTGATAATTTTCCATGGCATATAAGATGCATACAAAAGATGTAGAACCTTACAAACACATAATTCTTTTCAAAGAGCATACAACCGAGTGGAATATCGTATTGCTCTAGGTAAAAGGACACTGATGACAAATTATTGAATCATTATCCCCAATTTCATCCTTAATGAACCATAAATCTTAAAGCATACAAGGCAGCTTTCCAATAATTGGTTTAGAGGTTTCTTGCGTTAAATCATCAAGAAACCACAACAAAGAAGATAAAAAGGAATTTCGGTGTATCGTTGAAGACTAAACTTATAGACTAATCCGTTGGCTCAACAATCAAACAGATCAAAACTAAAAGTTTTGAAAAAGGAACCATATAATTCTTGGGATAACAGTGACAACGTGCGCATGAGGAGCTTGTAGATTTCATTTAGCTTAACGTCAAGCATTAAAGAACTTAAATGGTATATTTGGATGGAAGCACAGCGATGAAAAGGAAAGCACAGGAGTTTAAAATGTACAATTAGTTTTTTAATTATCAGTCAAACAAACAGAAGTGTATGATCATAATAGTTCTCCACAACATACAGTTGGGTTCCATTCAAACTTGCCACTTTGATAAGGAGCGAATTCAGCTTGCGGAAACTTTTTGTCAGGGGAAAATCCTGTAAACGAAAAAAGGACCATAGTAATTATTCAAATTCTTTAAAAGAATAATAACTTAAAAAGAGAAACTTAACTTAAATACTTACCTTTTAAGCCATTTTGAAGCTGAGAACCTGATTCAACTAATACACCAACAACATGCCTAGAAAAATCTGCATCAATCGATAACCTGAAACACAGCACACCCCCTGAAATCAATCAAAGATAGAATGGTGTGCTCATTGTGCTAAGGCAGAAGTTCTACAAAGCAGAAAACTTGCACACTAATCAGATGTATGACAATGACATCTCCATCCAACAAAACCTTTTTCTTTTTCTGGAAAAGGATCCAGATTTTGTGTTACACTATGATGCATACACATCATCAAAAGGCAAATTTGATGGTGACACAAAAGCAAGCATCTCATTGTCAAGAGCATGCATACTCGTGAGAAGTTAGACATAAACACCTCACTCACATGCCCGGCAGAGATCAAGATACTATAAATGGTAATGTTCACCATTTAGCTAAACGAAATTATGAAGCTTCTTCTCTCAGTCAAATGAATATATAATAAAAAGTCATCAACAAATTATAGCATCTGATATTTAATATGCATTATAAATATTCTGTAGAATACAAAAAACTTTATTAGCCTCTATCATGTCCAAAGTCTGCAATTTAATGTACCTACTTTAATAAAATCCAAGAAGTGAGCCAGCGTCTGACAACTATCTTAGTAAAATACAACTTGTCGTTTTAGGTGACCACTAAGTAGTTATTTACTCTTCAATTTGTTGGTACTCTCTAAACCAAGAGTCCCCCCTATGGTCTACTCCTAGTCAATATAGCAAACAGGACCAAAACTTATCAATAACAAAATCACCACATCATTTAAAGAAAGTTATATGTTTTTAACTGGAAGATTTTGGAATTATTTTTTTCCTTTTCCTTGTTTGACTGGTCAACATTTGCTATCATCTAAAAATTCAATTGACCAATCTATACCAAGAGAAAGAGAGTATAAGGTGCACATTAAACAGGATTAAATAGTGGAACAGTTTGGTGTACTGCAATCCATTTACCACTCAAAGAGGCACAACTAATTGGCAAATGAGGGGAGGACTTTTTTAGTAAAATACTAAAAAGGAAATAATTTTTACATCCAAAGGAAGGCGAAAGATGCATAATCTTGTCCAAAAACATTACAAAGAGAGAATTTACATGCCTTGCAAAGAGATCCTCAAATTGATCCACAGACACCAGTAATGCAGATGGCTCAGCCAACTTATTTTCAGTCTTGAACCTAGTAACTGGTGCAATTATGTTGGCACGCCCAGGGTCTAGCCATGCACAAGAAGAGTTAGACAAGAAAATTAAAAGCAGATGAGGCATCTCATAGACCAAGAAAAATGCAACTAAATGCATACTTCGTACTTGAACAACCGATCTCCCCTGAAAGGTTAAGCAGCCGTACACATGGATACCCGTCAATGGCCATGTACATTGACTTCTCAAGATCAGGAACTGACTCGAAAGAGTTCACTAGATCTGAAGCTGTTCAAAATTAATAAAAAATTCAAAAACATATTATATAAAAGTATCGCTAAGAAGCTAACGGAAGAAAGAAAGACATGCATTATAATTTGGCACTCCTAATAGAACTCTGCATAGGAAAATGCTTTCTGAAGTGACAGGTAAAATGACATAAATTGCAGCATGTCCAATTCTTCCTTAACTACCACACACAAACGCAATAATCCAATCAAAGCCGTTCGCCTTAGAATGACTAAAAATCCCAAAATCATTTTGTGTGCATTGTTATGGATTTCCTCTAATAAAAGAAAAAAACCCTGAGATTCACAAAACTCTTTTCATAACGTAGCTGCATTAGCTTCCTTTCTTTTTAAGTTAGTCATGCACTTACGCTCGAGTATAACAGAAGGCATTCCAATTACCTAAGGAGATGATCTACGCCATTCCAGAGGTAAGTTAGCTTCCATATTTCAAGTACATGAAATATCTCATTGTCCAAAAGCTACCTCTTTGAAATAGTTCTAAGCTCATACTTAGTTAATTTTCCGCTATAAGTTAAAATCTACATCTGCACTACATTTATCATAAAATCATTTTCTTCTTTTTTTTCCAGCTTAGCGATTTGTTAATTTGATTGATAACAAAAAAATCATCAACATATCTATCAAACAGTAACAGTAACACCTCATTGTTATAAAAAAAATGTATAATTTTCAGAAGAACCAAGTTGCTGCGAAAAATAAAGATAAAAAATACATATTAACAAAATAACCGGAGTAACCTGAGAAGGAAAGGAAAAACTGAGCAAGTAAGCAGATGAGGAAGACGAAAAGCTTTGAATCGTTCATGGTGGAAATGAAATGGCGTTGTTGTAGTGACGCTTGTGGAAACACTAAACCCTAGACCATGGACTCGATTCTCTCCGGTCCAGAGCTTGTGTTTTCTCTCTCGGTTCACTGGTTCAGGATACTTAGATGTTGACTAGTCGGAGAATCCAAATATTCCGGTGATCGGAGATCATCGACGGCGACGGGGAGCTGGAGTTTACTTCTACTGAATTTTGAAAATTTTATATGTGGACGAAAATGGAAAATAATAGAATTGCTTTATTACGTTAACCTCCCTGTAGTTTTTTGAAATTACATTATCTACCTTATGGCTTTTTTATTATCGATTTAGTCCCATCTATAATCTATTGGGCTTGATATTGTGCTTCAAATAGTATTAATTTTTTTTTGAAACCTCACGAGACTAGTGTGTCAAAAATGACTTTTTTATTTTCATGAAGTAGGGATAAAAGTTTATAATATTTTACACTTTTAAGATTTTAGAGTTTTTATTGTTACGTTCTTGTTATCGTAAAGATTGAAGTTTGATGGTAACTATTCATTACTCGTAATTAAAGGTGGCAAGTTTGAGTTTATTTGGAGCGTTGCACCTTCCAAAACACTTCTAAGCACAAATTATAATTAATCGAATTCCAAAACAGACCTTGTGTGAGAATTAAAAAAAAAAAAATTCTCAATGAAACGCTAAGTCATGAACTCTTTTTATACTTTTTTCCAAAGTTCAACTCCGAAAATATGTTTTGGCCATAAAGAAAAAACGTTTTCACCTTTTAACCTTTTTTCAAGAATTTTTATAAAATTTGAGAACAACAAAAAGTCATTTTCACTTGTTTTACTTCATTAAAAAAAAAAACTCTAATGTATTTCGTGACCAAACACAATTTCAATTTTTCAAATATCATTTTTTACTTTGAAAATAAAAACTATATTTTTTTTATTTTAATGATGAAACACAACGAAACACCTACTAATATAACTCCAAATAGACCAAAAAGTACATTCAACCCATAAATTAGGGACCAAATCCGAAAAAACAAATATCAAACCCGACCCGACCCGACCCGAATCCCTTCCAAATCTGCTTCAAATTTAGGAAGCAAAGAATTGAAATCGGAGAGAATTAAAGCGCGATAATCTATCAACCCTAATAATCAATTCTGCTATTAACAAGTGAGCTTTTTTCTTCTTAATTTGTATTAAAATTCAATCGCCGGAGCTTTTAGTTCAATTAAGATGAAGTGGACGTACAATTGAGCAAGGATTTTGCTGAATTTTTCTGCATTTATGTTTTATAATCATTTTTTCTGAGATGAATAATTAGGAAAAGGTGTTTAATTTAATTGTGTTTTGTCTTTTGGGTTTTTGAGCAAGCTGGATTTTATCGAGCTGAATTTGTAATAGAGAAGAGTTTCGAGAATTTTAATGGCTATTTATACCCCTTTTTCATAGAAAAAAGACTTCTTTTGTTGTTTTATCTGCTGTGTATTTCACTATTATAGATGTTTTGCTGAAAATTTTCATGCCATTTATACATTTCTTCTTTTCCAAATGAGGATTTAGCAGAAGTGTTTTTTTAAATCTTTTATTTTGTTTACTTGGTGTTTTGATCATCTAGCCGGGTCTACTGGAAACAGCCTCTCTAGGGTAAGGTCTATGTACCTCTATCCTCCCCACTGAACACACTTTTGAGATTACATGGGATATCTTGGTGTGCTTTGATAAGTTGAAGTTTACGGTGTTCTGTTCACAATTAGAATTTTTTTTCCTTAATGTTGTGTAAACTTTGAAAACGTTCTGGCTTGTTATATATTTCCTTTCCAATGAAAATTACGAAAAATGGTGCTTTGTTATTGTATTCATTTACTTTTTGTGTGTTCTTCTAACTGTATTTTTGGTGCTGTATTAACACAGCTTTGGAATGGACAAGAGAGCATTGTACCGAGCAAAGCTGAAGGAGCAGAAGCAGAAGCGAATTGATTCCCCTCTTGTAAGGTATTATATACAAGGGAGTCGATAAAGTATTAAACTTTTTTGATACTTTCATTTCTTGGTGTTTAGTTGTGGTTAGTAAAAGACTAGATTCCCTGCTATAATCCTTTTAAAAAATCGTGAACGAAAACAAGCTTTCTGAAAAAAGTCTTTTCCATCCAAAGATAGATTGAGCATCTGGAACTCAATGTTTTTCTTTTATAAGGTAAGGATACGTCTAAAGGGGATCTGGAAACTCGATGCTCATAAGAAGTAGTAGATAGTGATGATGATTTTGTTGATAGTTATGGCAACATGTTGGTTTCTAGAATTTAGCCTATGCCTTCACGTGCATAGCTGCAGTTGCTGTCATCTTTGTTTAATACCCAAATCAGTGTCCGTGTGTGTGCTCTTGATCTTGATGTGGAACTAGTTTGTGTTTCAAGGTCGGAAGTTTTTATCCGCATTTGAGTGTAATGTTGATGTGCTATTTGTTGTATTTGGTCTTTTACATGATTGGAAGTGATTGCAACCTATATTTAGGCGGTTTTGTATTTACAATCCTAGTTAAAGGTGCATTGTTCTCTAGTTTTATGACATGTATCGGTCTATCATGACAATGATGATCTGGCTTTGTCTAATGTGAAGTTGTCGGCACTAACTTTTCTGGATCTTAATTCTCACTGTGAAGTGTGAAGTCATGTCTTTATTATGAATTGTGTGAAACCACAGGTACAATGAGCACGATCAGCCTGTATGTAGAGTGTGTGATGTTGTTCTGAAATCTGAATCACAATGGCCTGGACATCAAGCATCTCGTAAACATCATGAGGTAAGATCTTACGATGTTTGGTCTTAGATTTTTGCATATTGGAATTTGGTGCATGCTAGTTGAAGCTTAGTTAAGTGGTCACAATGTAGTCCCCTGCTCTTAAGAAAAAGGTTCTTTCAATCATCCTAAGATGAACACATTAGGCCATCTGTATCTTAATATGAGCATCTCCTTTTTTTTCCTCCTCAAATTTGAGGTATGTTCTTAATTTGAGTATAAGCATCAGGTAAAAGCTTGTTCTGCAAGCTAATCTGTCCATAGCAGACTTGGCAGCTTCATAGTCATCAGTTTGCTTATTTTTTTAGTATAGGGATTTTTCTCCTTTACCATTCTCCAACTAGCTATATTGCTAGTGTACATGTTTATCATGAACTCATAGTTTGGGAATAGGTCTACAATTACATTTTGCTTTGGCTATTGTAGAAGTTTGTCCGTATTCATTGAAAAAAGATTCAAGTGGGATGCTGGTATGAGAAGCAAAAGGACAAGAAATTGATAGGGATAGCATGCTGTGAGTCTAATGCAGGATGATTGACTGGTGACAATGGAGGAGGAATTAGAATGACTTTTTGTTTTTTTTGGGTAGGGGGCTTACTATATTTGAATATAAATTTATTTGAATTTTTAGCTAACAGGGAAGAACTCACATAGTTGGTGAAAAAGGCTGGGTTCCACCAAATTTGTATGAGTTTTCTGCCGGTCCTCTATGTTTATCATGCATGTATTTTACAATATACCCTTTGGTGTGCTTGTTAAGGACCTCTTTAATTCATGCTACTCATCTCTTGTTTTGTCCTTTAGATGTTACATGTAAGTCATGTGCTTCACTCTTTTCTGCTAAGACAGATTGTTATGTATGTACAGGCCATAAGTAATCTCAAAGCTAATGCTGCTGCAGCGAAAAACCCAAACAATGTAAAAAGCGAACCTCCAAAGGAGTTGCCTAAAACCAAGCCTGAAATTTCTGAGGGTGTAAGCCATAAAGAACCTGAACCTTCTGCTGCAATGTCCAAGCCTCGTGCATCATCTATGCTTCCTCCCAATTTTTTTGACCAGCAAGAGACAAAGAGGCCAAAAATTGGTAAGTGCCTCTGTGGGAAGTTACCTTTTTATATGAACTTTCTGAATAGTCACCAAAAAAGAACTTTCTGAATAACCCTTCGGGATGGCCCAGTGGTTTGGGCTTGGGACTTCCATGTTGGAGGTCTCAAGTTCGAAACCCCTTGCCAGCGAAAGCAAGGGGTGTGCCTTCTGGGTCGAGCTTGTTGCACCGGGCTTGCCTAGTGCGGGTTACCTCTCCTATGTGGTTTGCGAGCTATTGCATAGGAGCGGGGGTTTTACCCTGTGCGCACCCAAAGGGTAGCGGCTGCGGGTTTCCCTTGTCATAAAAAAAAAAAAAAAAAAACTTTCTGAATAGAAAATTTTGAACAGTGGTTGTGGCGTGATGCTATCTTCTATGGATTTCGTGATATTGAAAAAAAAACCGACATTCTATGAATTTGAAAGTCATAATTCTTATAAGCCATGCACACTGGATGTATGGTGAGTCTTTGGGTCCATTTGTCTACATCTTTTTAGATATTTGCTTAAAAGGAAGAATATGTTACTATGAGAGATAGAGAGAAAAAGGTGGACGATAAGTAGAAAAAACAGTAATCCTGCTGCTATTTGGTGTGCCCGGATTCTGCCTCTTTTCTATACTTTGTAAGGAAGACTTGGGTATACAATGATATCCTTATCTCTGATTTAACTTGTCTATACTTTGCAATGAATACTTGGATATTCCAATACAAAAGTTGCTTTACTCTCTTGTTGTCAAGGATGACTTATCTATTCAGTTTTCATGTTTCAGATAAAGATTCAGCTAGGTTGGGAGACCACGTATCAAACAGAGATCCTCCAGTTTCAGATCGCAATGAAGAGGTTGAACCGTCTTTGACAAGGTCTAGCATTCAGGGCCTATCTACTTCCAAGAATGCTGAGACTAGAAGCAGGGAAGATCCACGATCTGGTGAAAATGGACCGACGTCAAAAGTGAGTTCTGGTTCAGATGCTAAGCAGGTCAAAGGAGCTCTCCCTGCAGGTTTCTTTGACAACAAAGATGCCGATTTACGTGCTCGTGGTATTACACCAGTCAAACCAGATGTCAAGTAAGACAACTTGCTAAGCAGTCTTTGTTCCTTACTCTTTGATTGTTGTGGCTTAAACTGTTTTCCTTTTTTCTAATACCGGTCGACTTCAGATGGGATCTTTCATGTCTTATCCAACTATTTCTTTAAACTGGACCAGAAAGCCAATTGCTACCCAATATGAATAGACTATTCAAATGAGAAGCACTACCTTCTACTGGCAATATATGCTGGATAATGCCGGATGTGCCCTTTTTCAGAGTCTCGAGAGCTATAAGGCTCATTTCTCTTCCATTTATTCCTCCAACTTTCAAATAGTATAAATGTTCTCCTGTATTACAGCCTAGGCAGTTCCTCGACCTCCAGCTTCTTCATGATTACGTTCAATTAGATGTTCTGTAACGGACATGGTTCAGTGGTGCAATTGAATGGAGCATTAAACTGCTTCTCAGTGCACTTTATGCTGTGTAATGTCTGGAAATGTATGGTGGTCATATTTAGGTGGTGCGATTCCTGTAGGCTGTAGCTATTTAGCAGCCTTCATTTTACCGCTTTGAATGTAATAAAAAAATGTAGCTGGTGTATCAGAAGTAAATTTATTCTTTCTATTTTTTTTTCATCAGCTCCTTCACAGTTTGTAGTAGATAAAGCATCTTACTCTTTATAATTTATATGACTACTGTATTCCCTCAGTGTCTTAAGTCTCAGTCCTTGCTCCTCCAGGCAAACTTGATGTTGACTCTAATGACTTCATTGCAGGGATGAGTACAAAGAATTTGAGAAGTTAATCCAAGAAGACTTAAAAGAGGTTGACAACCGATTAGAAGAAGAAGAGGTCATCTTTAATTGCAATATACTTGTTGAGCCTTCTGTAAATTTTCTATCCTGTTAAACCATGTTATCGACCCACTTTGCCATTTATCTTGCAGATTGATGCTGCAGAAATGATTGAAGAGGAAGTATCTGTTGAACAGAGGTCAGTTCCTCAAATGATAAAACTAATTTAGTCCTTTTTTGAGAAATTCCTTATATTTTCTTTACATGGTCCGAAAGTCGATATAAACTTTTATATTGCACGACTTCAGGGGCTATAGGGAAAGACTTGAGATGCTGAGGAAGAAGAAGATGGAAGTTAAGGCTGCTAAGTCTTCGTTAGGCAGCAAAGAAAGTAAGGTTGCAAATAAGGAGTCTAGTGATGACGAATCATCAAGTGATGATGACAGTGACGAGAATCTTACTGTGGACTGGAGGGCTAAACATTTGTGAAGGTGTTTGCCCGTCTATGCTCCTAGTACACATTCTCTCTAGTTTCTCCTTCATCCTCGTATTTTGACTGTGTGCCCATAGAGTAGTTCTATTTCGCTCATGCTAAATATTTGGCCTTTTGGTCGTAGATAACAAGGTTTTGCCTACTTCTGCAAGTCACTAAGAGAATGAGCCAAATGGTAATATGATTGTTGAGGAAAGAGGTGAACAAGTCCAGAATGGAAGAAACGATACTGTGCTAAACAAGTCGAGAATGGAAGAAACGAAGAGTGTCGTGCTGTTTGCTAAAGAAATTTTGTACTCTTATGAATATGTTTCGAAAATTGTCAACAAATCTACGTTCATATTCTTCGTATGCACGCATATTGAGGCAATGAGGTTATTCCTTTGCACATAGATGAACACTTGCAAGTTGTAACAATGTCTTTTTGGTATTCTCTTTGTTTACACTGCAAATTTTAATGTCATTCTTGTGCAATAGTGAATAAACCAGAAAGTGTTGCAGCCAAAACGGAGAAAAATTTGCAAATACTCTACTTTTGTGGTAGAGTATGATTTGCGTACATCTTCCCCTCGTTAGATAGATTCCATTTAGTGGGACTATTTTGAGTATGTCGTTGTAATTAATGACGTCAAATGGACGGATTGAATTGAATTAGAGGATTAGAATGAATTGAGTTTAATTAAACATGTTTCTTAATATTTTTCCAACAAGTTGTAATATGATGTCTACCAAAACATTATACAACAATGACTCATTTCATTGTCATCTCATTTACATTAAAATTGATCCACTTCTATCCAAAGCAGACATTTTATAAGTTGCTTTACTTTTCAACAATTGATTAAACAAATATAATTTAGTTTGTAACTTTGCTCATTGGTTAACAAGTGTCTTAAGAGTTCATAAAACTGTAATACCACTAATGACTTTGATATATTACTAAATTAATATTCACCTCAAAGTGGAATTCAGAAAATGATTTTTTTTTTGGGGGGTTAACTATTTAAGTGCTTGTTTGCTAGTTGTCTAACATATGATAATAGTTAATAATAAAATTCCATTTGATAAGCCAACCAAGATTTCTATTGGTCTACTTTTTTTTCAAACATAAACCAATCTTGTGGGCTTTTAAGATTATTTTTTTCAAAATAATAATAATAACTAGGGGTCAACTCAAAATGGGCAACTCAAAAGAGACAGAAAGGAAATGGATAGGCCAAAAAAAAAACAAGGGAAAGGTGGTGCCAATGAAAAATAATAATTTAAAGATAATGGAACAAATAAATATGAACAAATGGAATATTGAAACGTCAGTTTACTACTTGATCTTTCACTTTATTGATGTAAATAATGATTTGAAAAACTAACTAGATATTGTCTATTTACGAAACTCAACAAATATAATTTTCCAAAGTTTTAGTCTAAAACTAAAATAATAATAGTATATTCAGTGTATTTTATATTTGGACATAATATGAGAAAGATAACAAATAGTAACATAAAATTTAAAGAAACATTAACCAAAGAAACAAAAGGAGTATGTGAACCACAATTACTAGCTCATTATATAAAAACTTTACATTAAAGAGTTTGTGCCTTTTTCTAGATCTTGCATGAGAGGTTCATGCAAAAGGAGATGTGAATAAACTCCTTTTTCTCTTTGGGTACATAATAAGAAAATTTCATGACCACAAGATTCAAGTATAATTATCTATATTGAATATAATTAATAAGATATTTAAATCTAAAATCTCTCATGAATTTCCGCCCATTTTTATTAATTACTAGGTTGTGCTCTCCCTCGGACCTTGGTATAGTTTTACCTAAAATTATTTAAATGGTTTTTGTTTAAGCTTATCATAAGCATTTATGCGTTTTTTTTTTCCTACTAGGTATTCAATATTTGCATTAGGATTGGATTAAATCTGAATCACACATTACATGTCCATTTTTGCGAGCGACGCTCCCAACAAGGTGATTAAGCTTATAATTAAAATTATGAAATTTGCTATGAAATTTATCAGTAATTCCTAGTTAATCCATCGTTAAATAGCTCCTAGCTAATTGGACTTTCATATAATCTGTCGCTAATAAATAGTTCAATGAAATTAGCATGAGATTTTTATTGTTTTAGTTATGAAAATTTAATTTTATCCGTCGCTAATTAGTGGTTGATAATTATTAGTCAGTAAATCTCTAACTCCTTCCCATTCCATTTTCATCATCATCTTTTTCATAAAACAATAATGTTAAATTTTATATTAATTTCTTCTGGATAACTCTAACTCTTTCACATAACAAGCCTAATTAGTGTTGGATTAATTAGAATAGCAATTTGTGGTCTTCAACACACTACACTATATAATCTAATTAGCCATGTTAGGTCATGAACAAATTAAATTAGCAGCTAGCATCATATATGGCTGTTAAGCATTACTCAAATTAAATTGTTAAGTGGGTCGAACACTTTCAACTTGGTTTAATTTGTTAATTAGGCCACTAAGTGGGGAGGTTTTCATATGATCACCACCATAAACCTAAAAGACACATTTGAGTTTGATGGTTTTTTAAGTATTGACAGTTAGTGGTTTATGCCTCCTTAGATTTCCATTAGTATAGGCCCATTTGTCATTTGTGGTTTGAGTTCTTTATAAAAAAAATTAATAATTAATCATCTCGTATCCGAACTTCACTAGCCTGACTATTCCTGATTCATGTAGAGTAAAGCCTTAAGGAATTTTTGGGCGCAAGAATATTTGTGAAGATGACAGGGATTTTCAAATCAAACTTCAAGATGATGTGCGGTGTTTTAAGAAAGTCCCCCTACTTAATTCCTATCTAATAAGGTTGAATAAGATTTAGATTAGTCTCATTAAATTTGTTCTCGATGATTCATTCATTCTCGAGGCTCAAACTCCACTATTAAAAAATGTGTTTCCAACGACATCCATCCATAATTGGCACGTTAGAAATGTTTCTGTTAAACTTTCTTTTGAAAATTCTATATATTTGGTGGTGTTTCGATAGGAACGTCGATTAAATCATACTTTTTATAGCGTCGAAGACAGATTTAATTAAAAGTGGAGGAATCTCATCCATCTCATCAAAATATTTGATGGTTTTTTTTCGAGTCTTTAATTTGTTTTAAAATGTTTAGACCTTATATCTTTCTTGTTTATTTATTTTTAAATTAAATATAAAATATAGAGCATAGTTAGTTTTGAAGTTTAATTTATTGTCATTAAAGTATAACAGTTAGTGGTTTATGCCTTCATATATTCCCATTAGCAGAGTTTAAGGGGCTACATTACCTTACTAGAAGTGGAGTTAATATAACCTTTGGGATTAGAAGAACTAATAAGTTATTAAGCAAAAGTAATTAATCAAACATCACTCTCCATTAAGGTTTAATGTGGAGTTTAATTAATTATATCAAGTCAAGCAATAAGATGAAGTTATTTATTTTATATTTATGTGTTCAAGCTAAGAATATTAATTTCATAAGATATAATCTGAACACTTTAGTTTTCTAGCTAATTGGTTGAAGAGGAATTTTTTTTTATACTCAAGTTATAATTGGTTTAGTGTTTTGATTAAAATCTGGATTCGTACAGATTTTGATATTTGCATTGAGACTCGACTAAATTATTCGAATTGACGTAAAAATATCCCACATTATAAGAGGTAATCTTTTGTCAAGAATAAACGAGTACTAATTATCATTCTATCATAATTATATATACTACATAATTTTTTACGATTAACTTCTTATGCCTCGAGATCTGTGTTGGATTCTAGTATAATAGATAAATTACTGTATATTATATAGTTTCGTGTATTGCAAAATTATTCCAATACTATAGGATTTGCAAGTCAAATAAATACAACATCGTACGTCTAAGTTTTTGTTTTATATATCTTCTGACATGATTTTATTTTCAAAAATCAACCTGGCCAATTCGAAATAAGTGAATAATATAATCATTTTATGAACTAATTAGGAGAAAGTAAAATTAAATATGCTCGTAGTAATTAATTTGAACGTATATCTTGATATTACGTGCATCGACATAATAAAACAATTCATTTGTTCCTACATAGGTTCTTTTAAAGAGATTCCTGCTTCTTCGGTGAATATCTTGATAGAAGATATGATTTTTTGAAACTGAAATTTATTAGTACTTAACTAAATACAAGTACAATAAAAAAGATTCTTACTTGTCCAGCTTTTAATGAATCAAGATAGTCGTTTGTTCCAATATAAACAAATGCCATTTCAAAAAATCAAAATCAAAGTTGATAATTATTTTTTGAGCTAAAGCAATAGTTAAAATGGTACGAAAGTTCACATTAGATCAAAATTGGTTAACGGGAAATTAAATAATTACAAATATGGTAAATCTCAGTGGTTCTCTTGTTCCCATGCATCTTTGTTACATAATTCTACGTAATTAAATTCAAATAGCAATATTTATATCATTATAAGTTATTTTAGCCCATCAATACTTATGTTAATTGTAATATTAAAAATAAACTTCTCAAATGTTTTAATACCTTGTTTGGATGGTTGTATTATTAGTCTCGAATAACGATCGATACGTTGTGATTATATCTCTATCTTAACATGTTTTTCTCATTTTATCTTTACTTTTTATAATCTTATTTTAACCTTGACCTACTAGTAGCCATATCCCGTATCTTCTTCTTTTTTTAATTATTATTTATAGATTTATCATTCAAATTGCAGACGAATAACATTATGTAACAACGGAAACAAAATAATCTATCAAAACATTATATTTATTCACTAAATCAATACAATATAATACAATACAATATACAATAATGCATAATTAACAACCTGACCATTTTGTGTTCAAATTCTAAATCATCAAGACGTCGTGGGATGCTTCTGATCAATAGAACGGAGCGTAATGCGCATAAAGATTTAAACACACGTGATGTCACATTTTCCTATATATATCAACTTAAATATTAAACATAAAACAATTTTTTCCAAAATTAAAACTAAAATATGGTATATATTTATTTATTTTTGAGTTGCATATAAATAGCTAGCCATATCCATCTCTTTATCAACAAGTTCATCAAATCTCTCATAAATATCTCTCTCTCTCTATATATAAATAGTATATAATTGAAGCCGTAGATTCTTCTTCCCGCCTGAACTTTCACGTGAACGCTCATCTTCCTTCCCGACTTTCTTATTCGTAGTAAAATCAATCGAATTCTCGAGAAAAATTCTGTTCAATACAATATATACATCAAATTACATTCGAAAACTTCAAATTTTGAATTTCGTATTACGAGAGAGTAAATTGGGATTGAATTGATTGATTGTTAATATGACGAGAGGTGAGGAAGTACTGGAGATAGACATTAATGGAGGTCGAGCAGAGTATGAAATAGAAGATATGAGAGATAAGATGGAATCTTCTAGAGGAAGTCGATTTAAACTCA